GCTCCAAATCACTCGCTCTATTTGTTAGTTTCTGGCATCAAAAAGGCTCAAGAGAATTTTCTTTCTTTTTTTTTTTTTTCCTTTTTTTTCTTGTCTTTTTTACTGACCGGTAACGGGATCGCAACCCTCAGTGTTGCGCCTGCACCGCGCTCAGCCAGTGAGTGGGAACCGGTCTCCACATGGGATCCGAACCCTCGGCGGGAGCGCCGATGCGCTCCCAAGCGGCGCACTCTCCAGTGCGCCACCGGGCCAGCCCAAGAGAATTTTCTTGTGAGGGAAATATGATTGGCTTGGCTTGAGTCAGGTGACCTATTTCTGGACCAATCAGTTGTGGTCAAGGAGGTGGGTATCAGAGGACCAACATGGCAACACCCAGGCTCTGCACCAGAGAGCTGTTGTCAGAGGGGCAGTGGGCCTGGCACCTGGTCCCAGCAGGCTTGCTTCCTTCCCTCTTCCTGGGTATCCCATCCCCCACCTTCCGTGTGCACACAAAACCCTGCTACACCCATTTTCCCACTTATGGAGTTAGATGAGGCCTGAGTTCAAATCCTGCCTCTGCTGTTTTCCTAATGGTCTGCTCTTGGGCAAGTGACTTCACTTCTCTGAGCCTCAGTGTTCTCATCTGTAAGTGGGCACATAATACCAACCTCTTAGGGATGTGGGCAGAGTCGACTGACATAATGACCCAGGTAAAACTCTTCAGTGGACATTTTCAGGGTCAAGTTCAAACTCAACATGTGAATGGCTGGCACCTGCTGAATTTTCTGGCCCATATCCTCTCATTCCCAGAGTGCCCCCTTCTGTAGCCACACCCGGCTGCTTGTAGCTCCTCGAACTTCTCTGCTCTGTACTTCTGCTGATATTGTTCCCTCTGCCTGGGATGCCTTTCCTTCTCTTCCCTCACCTAACCTGGCTTACTTGCTCCCTGAAGAGGCTTGATTTCTGTCCCTCCAAAAGATATGTCCACGTCCTAACCCCCCTGAACCTGTGAATGTGACCTTATTTGGAAACAGGGTCTTTGCAGATGTAGTAAAGTTAAGGATCATCCTGGATTTAGGGTGGCCCTAAATCCAATTACTGGTGTCCTCTTAAGAGAAAGGAGAGGAAAATTTGGGATACAGAGATAGAGGTGAAGGCCATGGGAAGAAGGAGGCAGAGATCGGAGTGATGTGCCTACAAACCAAGACACACCCAAAATCGCCAGCAACCACTGGGTGCTTGGAGAGAGGTATGGAGCAAATTCTCCCTCAGAGCCTCCAGAAAGAACCAACCCTGCCAACAGAATAAATTTCCGTTGTTTTAAGCCACCCAGTTTGTGGTAATTTGTTATAGTAGTCACGGAAAACTAATATTGTACTCAAAAATGTAGCTCAGACATCCCCTGGTCTCCCTGACTCCTCACCTGGACAAGATGCCCAGAGTCCATGTAGGGCTTTCTCCTACCACTTATCACAGTGCCTGCGATCAGCAATACACCTGTGTGCCTCCCCCTCCAGGATGTAAACTGAAGGGTGGGGACTCACGGGTATCTTTGACTCTAGATTACAGCAGCCTCTCCCAGAGGAGTCCATAATCTAACAGGCCTCAAAGGTGTCAACAAAAGATGATACTCCAGTGGTTGGATTCTAGGTGGCAGCTCACAGGTGTTTGCAGGAAGGAGTCTATTTTGGGATACTTACCTAAAAGAAACTGAAGCTGAACATACAAAACAGGATTTATTGAGCCATTATAACAATTGCAACCAGGGAAAAGCATAGGTCAGGTCGCCCTGAGAAATGAGTTCTGAAGGGGACCAGCAGAGCTTAGCATTTGATAATCACAGAAAAAGAGAAGAATCAAAGGGGAGAGAGAAAAGGACAGCCCCCTTATCATTACATCCGTTTTTCTATTGGTTGTACATGACGTATAGATTTGGGATTGTTACTAGTTTACATCCTGCATGCAGGGATCTAGGGTAAGGGTTACAAGAAGCATTCTGGGATATTTTATTACTTCATTTGCCCATCTGTCTGCCTGTAAGTCAAAATGGTCTCATGATAACATTTTCCAGGACACAGGACGTGACTACTGGCTTATCCCAAATCTCCCAAGGCACTACAATTTAGCTGATCTGGTTGGAGCAGAATTTTTTAGTTATCAGGGAGATTGGGTTCCTCTCCCCTTCTCAATCAATGACTATGTACCTACTCCCAGGTATAGGCACGAGAGGGCCCTCCCTGGGGGTTATAAGGTGGGTTTGTCCTGCCCTAGGGTCACCTGAGATGTGCCCGCCTGCCTTCTCTTTAACTATCTTACTGATCTCTGTGAGAATTTTTTTTCTTTTTCTTATTGAAGCATCATTGAGTATACATATCTGTCGAGTATAGAGTTGAATATCAATACCTGTGTGCAATGTGTGATGATCAAATCAGGATAATTAAAATACTCATCATTACAAAACACAATCACTCTTTGTGCCCACTAACCAATTTCTTGCTAACCCCCTCCCCTTTCCCACCTCTAGTAACCACAGTTCTGTTTTCTCCTTCTGAAAGTTCAACTGTTATCGTGATTCTTTCTTTTTCTTTCTTTCTTTCTCTTTCTTTCCTCTCTCTCTCTCTCTCTTTTTAGCTCTCTCTTATGAATGAGGACATGTGGTATTTCTCTCTGTGTGCCTGGCTTATTTCACTTAACATAATTTTCTCCAGGCTTATCCATGCCTCTGTGTTCACACTGGCAGCTCAGATGGAAAATGACTCCAGGCAGGAATGTGGCCATGTCAGAATAACCAAGGTACAAAGGGATTATTTAATTAAGTTTGTTCTTATGGAAAATCCTCTTTGCAAGGGCCTTCCCCTGGACAAGGCCAATTGTCTCTGGCAGGGCTGGAGCAGCCCATGGCTTGTTGCCCACTATTTTCTAGCTTCTTGGTGTTCCTCCTTGCCGTGGAGACCGGGGGCACCCAGTGGCCCATCCCGTGGCCCTGCTCTGAGTCTTCTTGGCACCAAGGCTGAGTCTACCCTGCTTCCCTCAAAACTGTCCTTGGGTAGTTGGAAAGGTGGCCGCAGCCTCAGTTGCCTCCTCAATATGGGAGAACTCATGTGGCAAAGAGAAATCTCCAGACTGGGAATTTGGAGAAGTGGGGCTGACCTCCTGTTCCTAGAAGAAACAGAGAATGAGATGTGGGGCTCTGATGTTCCAACAACCTGCCCAGCCACTCACAGGCTGTGTGGCAGGAGGAGGAGGGGGAGCAGGAGGAGCAGGAACAGGAGGAGGAGGGGGAGGAGGAGTAGGAGGAGGAGCAGGAGGAGCAGGACGAGGAGCAGGAGGAGGAGCAGGAGGAGGAACAGGAGCAGGAGCAGCAGGAGGGGGAGCAGGAGGAGAAGGAGCAGGAGGAGGAGGAGCAGGAGGAGGAGGAGCAGGAGGAGGAGCAGGAGGAGCAGGAGGATCAGGAGGAGGAGCAGGAGGAGCAGGAACAGGAGCAGGAGGAGGAGGAGCAGAGCAGGAGGAGGAGCAGGAGGAGTAGGGGGGAGCAGGAAGAGCATACATAATTAAAAGAAAAAACACTGCCATCCGTACTGATATAATGCTTTCTCCTTTTTATTTGGAATGTATTAAAGACCTCTTTTAGACTTATTGAGATGTAGATTTTAATCATCATTCTCGTGCCTACATTGAAGGGAAATATAAGGGAGATAAATGATATATTTCCTTGAGCATCTTCACATTTGGATCCAACTCTTCTGAATTACTTTCTCCACTGAGTCACCAGTATCTGAGTTTTTCCACCAGAAGATGGTTTCTCTGTTGTTTCCAGAAGTTTCCACCAAGCTGCTGACACCCCAGCTGTGCATTTTGATGTGCTTGTGTGCGGGCAATGACACCTCCCTCAAGCCCACTGCCCAGTGTGGAAAGATGAAAAAACACCTCTCAGATTTGATAAGAATAGCGGTTATTACCTGAGAAGTATTTCTTGAGAGGATGAATGTATGAATGAGTGAACGAGTGATGAGTGAGTAGGAAAGTTAATTACCTGAACCTAAGAGAAAAGGCTCCAGAGGAAGTCACTGATGGATGAAATGATACAAATTAGAGCCTCATTTTTTTTGCTTCAACCAGAAGTTCTCAGTGGAGCAACTGTACCTCAGGGGACTTTGGCAATGTGTGGAGACATTTTTGGTTGTCACAACTTGAGGGGAGGGTGCTACTGGCATCTCGTAGGTAGAGATCAGGGGTGCTACCCAACATCCTGCAATGCACAGCCTCCCCTTACTGCCCCTCCTCCTGTCCCTAGCCTGGGCATGGCACCCCTCACAGGGCAGCCCCGATGGGGCTGACTCCACAGTGTGACTCAGAGCCACCAACATCATTTGCAAAATGAACCAGTGGGCCCCTTGTTCGACAATTACTATGAGTTTCAAGATAGCAACAGCAAACCAAGCACGGGTCCCTTCTAAGCAACTGCACAGGCTGTCTGCTCTGGAGCTGGCCCTGGTGGGACTTGGGCTGCCTCAAGGGCCCCCGGGGGGATGGCACCAAAGTCACCCTCCATGGCTCTTGATCCCTAACCCTGGCCGTCCTCTCTTCCCATCCCTCTTCTCCACTCCCCTGCCAGTTTTGCACAGGAACCATCCTAATAAATTGCTTTCAGAGGGGCTGCGTCAGAGGCAGGTGGCTCTGATACTCCCGGGTTCCAGCAGCAGAGCTGAGCTGACACCTCATCCAACAACACCCACCCTGCCTCCAGCCCCCAGGATTTAACAGTGACACAGTGTTACACATCACCAGGGACTGAGCATTGTACTTTATTGCTCTTGTTCCGTAGCCTCCTCCCACCCTCTGCTAACATTTAGTCTTCAACACATCCAATTTAAGATCATCAGGTCAAAACTATGAATCATGCATGGCTAACGAAGTTCATTTCCATTTTATGATAAATGAAGTTATTTTGAGGACATCTGGGATGGGTACATGCTCTAACATTTAGTCTTCAACACATCCAATTTAAGATCATCAGGTCAAAACTATGAATCATGCACGGCTAACGAAGTTCATTTCCATTTTATGATAAATGAAGTTATTTTGAGGACATCTGGGATGGGTACATGCCTTCCAGAGTCAGACCCGGATGAAATCTGTAAAAAAACAACCAAGATGCTGAATTGTCTTAGAAAACGGCTTCAAAAATGCTCACGAAGGCGGTGCCTTCTTCCCAGGGTAAAGATCTTGTGGCACTGCAAGGCTTTGTTTCCAGGATGGTGAAATAGGGACCCAGAGCTGCTCGGTGGCTCCTACAAAGTCACCCATCCTAGGGCCATGTTGGGACTGAAGCCCAGTGTCCTGTCTCTAAGGATCTCCGGGACCATGCTCTGCTGAGCTGAGCATGATCTCTGGGGGGTCCAATCATTTTTCCCAACTGTTTCCAAGGCTTAGCAGGAAGTGGAGGAGTTTTCTTGCAAATTGGCTGAAAAGAAAGCAAAGAAGAAGTGAACGTGAGCTGCTGCTGGGGCAGAGCGTGGGATTACGCCAGGCAGAGCCCCGGATAACGCCGGATCACAAATCTGTTTCATCCTCTTCCTCCTCCCCCACCAGAAACACCAGAAAGATGTCAGTTTCCACCCAGATTAAATTCTTAATTCACTGTCAAGTCTTTATGGAGTGTCATCTTGTTTAGTCCCCAGCTCATCCCCCACCATCATTCCATTATAAAGATGAGGAAACTGAGGCTTGGAGAGTTGAAGTCGTTTGTTTAAGGTCACAGAGTGGAGCAAGAATTGAAACCCAGGCCTGGCTGGCTCTGAAGCCAGCACTTCTGAAAACTATCCTAAACTGTCTCTCAAGGTCTCATTCTTACCCACTGGTCCCTGGACTTCCCTGTTAGAAGTTCATTGTCCTCAGTGGCATCAGACTCGCTCCAGGGACAGTTCCTGTCATCAGCAGGTAATAGACATGCTGGCATCAGTCCTGGAGGACTCAGCCCTGAATATTCTGGAATCTGAAATCTGACCTTTGCCTTTTCAGAACATCCTGGGATAGTCACCTGCTTTCAAGGGCTTCTATCTGCCGTGTAGACCCGCAGCCGTCACAGGGGCTGGGTGGGCTTTTGAGTGTACTGGCTGAGACGCTCTGGTTGCTGCGAGCCCTCAGCCCTTCACATGCACCTGCACCTAGCCTCAGAGACCACCTGAGAGCCAAGCCTGTGCCTCACCTGGAACCCCCTCTGCAGCCAGCCTCCCCACGGTCCTTCTGTCCCCACCCCAGGGGCCTCCCTCTGGTTCTGCAAAGCCAAGATCTCTTTCACCACGGGGCTTCTGCTCTTCCAGCAACTTCTGCCTGGTCTGCCCCAGGAAGTACCTTCTCATCTCCAGATCTTGGCTTAGATGTCACCTCTCCCAGGGACTTCCCTGACCCCCCCACTGAAGCAGCTTCCTGCCCCTGCCCAGTGACTCTGCAGCACGTCGTCTGTTCGATTTCTTCACACAGTTATTACGGTCCGTCACTTTTGGGTTGATTTACTTGCTGACTTGTTTAGTCTCCTCCTGCCAGGATGTAACTCCCATGAGAGCAGGGACTTTGTCGGGTGTGTTCACTGTGTCACCCCAGAACAATGCCTGGCATACAGTAGATATCCGTGAACTGCGGCCAAGCGACTGAGTTCCCAGGACCATGCCTATCAGAGAGTTGGCACTCCATAGCAGTACTGGACAGAAGTGGGGAGGGATGGGACGTAGGAGGCATTCTGGCAAGGACTGGAAAGGAAAGTTACGACCTAGGCCAGCCTGAGGTTTAGGTGCGGAGGGGTGCAGAGACGCTGCTGTTTCTGATCACCACAATGTTCTCCTACGTTCACTGTGAAACTAGAAGGGAATTTAAAAGTTCTACCAGCAGGTAAAGCCCTGATCTCAGCCTCCCACTGGGCCACCTGGTAATAAAAGCTGCCTGGACACCTGGCTGCCCAATTCCACCCCCGTCCATTGACTCGAACTTCCTCCCACACACCTGCCTGTTGCTGCTTTATTGAAAGTGCCTCTGTTGTCCCTTCCCAGGCTCTGCCACATTCTTCAAGTCACCCTCTGCAAAAAGAACACGACTCCGTCAGGGTAGGGATGTCTACTGCCACCCAGATGCCTCCCAAAGCTCTCCAGGGACTGCCGAGTGAAGTCCAAATGCCTCAGCCTGGCTGGTGCCCTGTGTTTATCCCCCTCCCCCCAATGGGACCACTCAATCCCCAGCTGCGGCCCCTGCCTCTCCTCCTGTCCCTCTCTCCTGTTCACCATGCACTCCAGCTGCAGGGACAGCCAAGTTGCTGCCAGCCCCAGCGTGTTCACACGTGCTGGCCCTTTGCTTGCTGGTTCTTACTCTTTAGGCTGTGTTTGCATGCCCCCTCTCAGGAAGCCCATTTTGACAAACCGGTGTGGTGTCTTTGTAGTATCCAGCATGTGATGTCAGTAGGACTCACCACTATTATCATGAAATAACCACCTGGGCCTTATTGAGGTTTGCATTTCCTGCTTGATATTAGCTGCATGGCCACAGCTGCGTGTTCATACATGCAAACCCAGCCTCCAGCACAGACTGATGAGTGATGCTTGGTAAATATGTGCTGTCAATTCTCGATAAAGAAGACACATTTGATGGATGGATAGATGGAAGAATATACAGATGGAGGAATAGATGGACAGAGAAATGGATGGATGGAAGAATGGATGGATGGATGGATGGATGGATGGATGGATGGATGGATGGATGGATGGATGGATGGATGGATGGATGGATGGATGGATGGATGGATGGATGGATGGATGGATGGATGGATGGATGGATGGATGGATGGATGGATGGATGGATGGATGGATGGATGGATGGATGATGGATGGATGGATGGATGGATGGATTATTGGATGGATGGATGGATGGATGGATGGATGGAAGGATGGATGGATGGATGGATGGATGGATGGATGGATGGATGGATGGATGGATGGATGGATGGATGGATGGATGGATGGATGGATGGATGGATGGATGGATGGATGGATGGATGGATGGATGGATGGATGGATGGATGGATGGATGGATGGATGGATGGATGGATGGATGGATGGATGGATGGATGGATGGATGGATGGATGGATGGATGGATGGATGGATGGATGGATGGATGGATGGATGGATGGATGGATGGATGGATGGATGGATGGATGGATGGATGGATGGATGGATGGATGGATGGATGGATGGATGGATGGATGGATGGATGGATGGATGGATGGATGGATGGATGGATGGATGGATGGATGGATGGATGGATGGATGGATGGTGGATGGATGGATGGATGGATGGATGGATGGATGGATGGATGATTGGATGGATGGATGGGTGGATGGATAGATGGGTGAAAGGATAATTAGATGGATGGACGATTAGATAGATGGATGGAAGCCATATTTTCCAAGGCCCTGAATAAAAGTAGAAAGGAGTTGAGCACGTCCAGTCCCAGGTTCTGTGGTCAGCATGAGGCCACGTCTGCTGTGAGCTCATCTTTGGACCACACCTCCCCTGACCACCATAGACAACAGGGCTCCTACTTTATTTCTCAGTTCTAGTTCCCATTTTGTCCTCTATGAAGATACTTCAAAAGATTTATAGACAGATTTGTATTATCTTTTAATTCTATTTTTCTGTGAACTTAAGAGAATTAAAAAATAATACAAATCTTTCCATGAACTTTTTGGAGACTTAAATGGTTTCTCCTCTTACCTGGATATTCTTTGTAAAATTTATGTCGTAGGAATCGACCATCTGGAAAACAAGTGAGAAGATAAAACTCCAGAAGTTTATAAGTCCAAGACTGTTTTCATAATAACGCTACAGAATTATTTGCGTTTTGACATTCATTCTCCCACGAGTGTACGATGGAATTTTCCAGAGGCTATATGACGGAAAACAAGTGAGAAGATAAAACTCCAGAAGTTTATAAGTCCAAGACTGTTTTCATAATAATGCTACAGAATTATTTGCGTTTTGACATTCATTCTCCCACGAGTGTACGATGGAATTTTCCAGAGGCTATATGATGTGTAATATCACAGTTGACCAAACGCAGAAGCAGATAGGGGAGTCTCTCTTCTCTTAATTCATGTATTAAAGGACATTGGAGAAAAAAAAAAAAAGTGAAGCAATACCACTCTTCTCACTAGGTTTTTCATCTGGGGAAATATAATTATTTTTAAGAAACAAAAAGTTACTTTTAAGAAAAATAAAAATCTATGGGGTCTCCTCAATATTTTTTTAAGGGTAAAGGGGTCCTGAGACCAAAAAGTTGGGGAACCACTGTCTTCACAGATGAACTGGAAGCAAAATTTCAAATACTGCTCAGCAAATGTCATTACACATCTGTTCACACGGGCAGTCAATGGTACTTTTCTGAGCTCGTTCAAGAGACTTCAAATGAAAAAGTAACTCGAGCATGAATCGTCACTCAACCTCCCTGAGCCTGTCTTCTCACCTGAAAATGGGCATAAGATTAGTAGCTCTTAAAGTTATTGCAAGGATTAAAAGAAGTAATTTAATTTAAGACCAACACATGCAAATATTAGGAGGAACCACACAGAGCTGCTGTTTTCATATGTAAAAGGTGGTCATGGCAGCTTTAGGCATTTCCCATTCCTGGCTGTCAGTCACTGACCAGGGCTCCCTCACTGCCCCCCCAGCAGCAGTGATGCAGGCATGGGGCAAGGACACGGTCCTCTCCTTGCATTGAGCTACGTCTCCATCTTGGCGCATCCAGGAGGTTTTCTCTGCTCTAATGTTAATAAATCACATCTCTGCAATAGCTGACTGTTTCGCCCTGTGTTTCGTGGCCATACTAAAAACCATCAGGGTGTTTGGGACCAGCACTGACATTCACCACACAAGGGGATGAGAGCCATGGAGTAGACCACACCCCAGCCTTGGATGGACAGCTTATCAGCAACTGCAGAGATAACCATTTTCCAAAGCTCATGGGGCTTTCCAGGCCAGGGGCTCTCTGCCCCCTGGGGATGAATTCTGTTCCGTAATGGCACAGGGAGTCAGAGGTATGTGTGGACACTGGACACCCTCCTTAGGCCAAATATAATTTATTACCAAAAGTGATCATACAACACTTTTATCAAATTTCCACCTGTTCAAGGCCGCAGAGCCCCACTTTAGTCTCCCCCTGTAGCATCTTGACAAGGACAAAGATGGGCCCAGTCTCCCACATCTTGGCTTCTGAGTGACCTTGAATACACTCAGAAAAATGCACTGATTCCCCCTGACCCCACCCTCTGAAAAATCAGATTTACTGCATGTGAGAATGTTCATTTTCCTGTTGCAGCAGACATGAACCCCTCAAATGTCTGGTACCAGTTGCTGGACTGTGACCCTGGAATGGCCATTGACACCCTCTAGAAGCCTCTTCCAGGGGAGACTTGCATCCTAGGTGTGAGCACAAGGCCTGCCGCTTATTCTCAAATGGGCCAGAAAAATACATATGTAGACCTATGCAGAGTTGCAGGGTGGGGGGAGAAAGAAGGGAGAGGGGACAGTTATGCAGGTCTGACAATATTTTAACAGTTGGTGGATCTAGGTGGAGGGCCTGAGGTACTCTTCTTGCAACTCTTCTACAAGTCTGAAATTATTTCAAATATGCAGTTAAAAAAAGAAAACTGAGATAAAAGACTCTTCCTTGTAAACACTGGAACAAGAGTGCCCAACACCTCCCTCGGAGATTTTTGCTCCAAGGGAAGTTGCTGGAATTCAAGATATTTCCAAACTCTCATATAATTATCAACAAATTACTAACCATCATTGCTAAGCAACAGCACCCTGAGAGCAAGGCTAAGGGGGAATTCCACATGCACTTCCATCTGGAAGGCTCACATCGCTCCTGTGGGAGGGCAAGCACCCACATGGGCTTCGAAGTGGGTGGACAGCCATGGAATTCCAGCTCTGTTCCTCTTTACCGTGCGCAGTGTCTAGGCAAGTTCCCGAACTCAAGTCCTCCCTCTTCCTAAGACAGATAACAGTGCACACATGCACGGAGGACCTACTGTGTGTCAGGTGTTGTGCTTAGCACCTCCCAGGTGTTCTCATAAACAAGCCTCATAACTACCACATGCAGTAATCACTATGGGTACCATCACCATCTCCATTTTATAGATGGAGAAACAGACTGAGAAAGGGTAGTTGACCTGCCCAAAGCCACCCAGGAAGAAAGCTGTAGGCCTGGAGCCGATCTGTGGTTCTGAGCCTGCACTCCTAACCCTGCACAGCACTGGCCCTGGTCACACTTCTCCTTTTGCTGGCTTGTGGCAAAGCTTAATGACAGTGCCTGCAGGTGATCACCCGACGGCAGGCATCGTCAGTGCGGCCATCATTTAATTATCTGCTCTCTTTGCTTAGCCCATCTTTGAAATGAGTCTTTTTTGAACTGGTTTGGCTTACCCTGGTCTTAGAGGTCACATAGCCAGCCGAATGAGAAAGATCAGGGGGTGAGAAAGGCAAAGGAGTTCGAGGCCTTTCCAATGATGTAAATGACATTATAGTCCAAAGAACTTGTAACTCTCCCCATAGCTCTCTTTTGTAAAAGGCTCTCCCTTCCATACTCCACCCGTCTCTGACTTGCTGGCCAGCCCTCAGGGATCTGCATCCAAAGGACCGCACATCCCATCTGCTTACAGAGCGATTTGGTGTCTGGAGACAAGCAATGATGAAATAGCGAAGACTCTGTTCTGTGCTTGTGATGTGACAGACATGGTCTGCTTGGATTAACTCATCTACTCCTTAAAGAGCCCTGAGAAGTAACTCAACTATTATTAGCCCATTTTACAGATAAAGAAAATGAGGCCTGAAAAGGTCAGGTTATTTGCCACACACAGAAGGAACGGGAGGGACCATGGGAACCCAGGCTATCTGGCCAGAGAAACCCTAAACAAAGCCCTACAAATAGCAAGGGGAATGTAGAGGGAACCACAAAGATATCTATTTTGTTCAATTTTTCCAAAATTCAGAATTCCAGGATCCGGGATTCTGCAGATAGTTCTAATGTCTCATAATTTTATTATCTGCAATGATAATGATGTTAAATGTGTAACCGATTTAATGTCTATGCCTTCAGAGAAATAAATTCTCAAATCAGAAAAAAAACATTTTGGCAGATCACACACCCTGATGTATTCCTTTGGCAAACAGGGTCGTGACATCATCAATTTTGACGGAGGGCCTTGTCCTTAGCTATTAGCGCCGAGAGATGCAGCAGTGGGGACCCTTGGGTGTTGGTATCGGTCTGCTTGAGCTCATCTTTGACAAGCAGAACTGGGAGCGCCCTGAAGTCCCAGATCTGGCTTGCCTCACATTTCTTCCCAACTCCACGCCAAAACGCGGCTGCAGCCTCACGGCCTGATGTCTTACGTGCGGCCCAGGCGGGTTTTAGATCCTGCCAGGAGCCATTGTTCTGCTGTCTTTTCTCTCCTTGGTAAAACTGTGCCAACTCAAGCAAGGCCACCCACGCCCTTCATTCATCTATTTATTGCCTTCATCTCCAAGGACAAACACCAATTAAGTCCAACTCAACAGTCCTGGCAGAAGTCCTAGGAAGTTAAGGACTTTAAGACAATTCAAATTCCATGCAGCTTAAAGTAGGTATGTAATGGATATAAAATATCCTATGTTTACTGACCACCTTTAATTGCCTAGCTCTGCCCTCCATCCCCCCAAGGAGACCTCATTGTTATGGAGCAGTGAACCCCTATCGTGATGTTCTGAAAACCAGCCCCAAGCCCCCTCCCTTCCAATTCTCCACCCAGGAAGGAGGCCCCGTTCTTAGCAAAAGTCAAAGCCCTTTTTTTGTACTGGGGATTCCGAGAAGCTGGCCAAGCCCCCAAACATTGCCTCTTCCACATTGGGTGGGGAGGACCACTGAGGGTTGAGCCCATGGTGGAAGGGCCCACACGTGGGGACAGACAGGGCTTTACATGTATGACTTCAATTAATCCCCATAACAGCCTTTTACAGATGAGGAAACTGAGGCTCAGAGATATAAAGAAACTGACCCCAAGGTCACCCAGCTGGGAGGTGCAGAGCTGGGATTCGCTGCTGGTCTGCTGACTCAAGAGCCCATATCACTGCTGGCGTGGCAGGGAAAGGGTGGAGGACATGAAAGAGGGAGCCGGGCAGTGGCAGGATGGGAGGAGTGCTTGCCAGGCTCAGTGGCTGGTTGATGTTCCAGAGGCAGGTCTCTGATGTGGGGACCGTAGGGAGCATGCGGCTGGGACAGGAGCCAGGAGCAGGGCTTGGGGTGCTCTCACTTACCTGCTTGCCGGCGCTGCTTGACGCACTGCCCACGGTTGGGGATGCCCTCGGCCATGTCACCAGGGCTCAAGATGTGGCACTCATAGCCCGAGGGACAGAGCAGCGGCTCTGCCCCGTCCTCAGTGGTGCTGCAAGCCTCTGCTGTGGGGGTTGGGGAGAGACATGCCAGGGTCTCAGAGGGCAGACCCTGGGGAGGGGGCATAGAATGCACCTTGCCCAGAGAGGACACCTCCCGTCTGCACCCCAGATCCCAGGCTGTGCCTTGGGTCTCAGCCACATGTGTGTATACAATGCACACACATGCACACACACACACAGAGGCAGCCCAAAGTCACGTGATCCCAAACATGCCTTCGCATGCATAGTGACAATACATGGTGTGCTCACAGTACAGTCACACACATTTGCGTGCACAAAGATGCACACATATCCGGTGCAGCCACAAGAGCAGCCACGCAGGTGCACGCATGGCTGCAGGCCCTAGCAGACACAGCCACACACACAGAGGCACAGAGTTGTGAGCACAGCTGCTCACATTCGCATGCATAGTGACAATACATGGTGTGCTCACAGTACAGTCACACACATTTGCGTGCACACAGATGCACACATATCCGGTGCAGCCACAAGAGCAGCCACGCAGGTGCACGCATGGCTGCAGGCCCTAGCAGACACGGCCACACACACAGAGGCACAGAGTTGTGAGCACAGCTGCTCACACGCCAGGGCGCCAGGGCGCATGCTCACAGCCCACAGTTCTGCAGGCCCAGGCCCGCAGGTCATTCCTGCCAGAAGCTGCTCTCCGCCCCCTATCGCCCCAAGGAGGCCTCATTGTTATGGAGCAGTGACAGCCCAAAGCCCCCTCCCTTCCAATTCTCTGTCCAAGAAGGGGCCCCAGTCTTAGCAAAAGTCAAAGCCCTTTTTTTGTACTGGGGATTTTGAGAAGCTGGCCAAGCCCCCAACCATTGCCCCTTCCATGTTGGGTGGGGAGGACCACTGACGGTTGAGCCCATGGTGGAAGGGCCCACACATGGGGACAGACAGCCTGTTGCCCAGCAGCCGCTGAGAAGGAGGGACCCTGGCTCTGATGTCGGGTCTGGGCCTCACCTTGCAGAACCTCCTCAGGGCCATCCAGGAGCCAGCCGTTGCCACCAAGCCAGCGAGGTTTCGGCTGCACCAGCCAGTCTAAAACTAATGCAATACATGGTCAGATTGAGCCCCGCCCCCACCCTGGGCAGCTGAGAAATGCCCCTGCCTTGTCCCTTCCTTCTAGTGACAGAGCCTTTGTGGGTGGGCCTGGGTGCTGGGCCACCATGCTGGGGATGGTGTGGCTTGCAGTGAGGTGTGGCTGTGTGGCTAAGTTCTGGCCACAGGATGAGTAGAAGAGATCCCGCAACTTCCTTAAATTGATGGCTGCTCCCTCCCTGCCACTTTGGCCATGTGGATGAAGGCACTTCTCAGATTGCAGAGCAGCAGGAGGGAAGGGAGCTGAGGCCTGACCGCAACCTTTGCACTATTCACCAAGATGGAAGTCAGCATCTCACAGGTGGGTCCCTGTATTTATGGGTCTTTTTGTGACAGCAGCATGGCCTGTTCTCTAACCAATACATTTTCAACAGGAGAGTTACCCACACAGTAGACTGGGAGGCCATCAAGAGGCAGGGGCGGAACACTCAAATGCCTCCAGGGGACAGGGAGAAACGCACAGGACGAGGGCAGCTGGGCAGGGCTGTGGCAAACCCGGAGCGCTGCTGCTTAAGTGGATCAGCGCGCGTTTGGCTCCGGCCAGCTGCTCCCAATGTGCCCAGAGCTTCTGGTTTGGGGTTTTTATTCTTTAACTATAAATCTGTATTTTAAAAAACATAAATCTTCTGGTTTTTAAGTGTTGACAACTAATTTAAAAACTTTAAGCACATTGGAGATTGAATAAAACAGTTCTGGGATCAGATTTGTGACCTCTGCTTTAGTTTGATGCC